ATATTTTGTTAAGACATATAGAACAAAAGAAGTGTAGAATTCCAAGATCTTTCAAATAATATCTCGAAAAAAGGGCTAGCCCCTAAAATCAGGGGCCTAGAGGGGCCGAAACTTTTTTCTTTATATCTCAAAATCTATATAGAATTTGTAATACGTCAAAGAAGCAAAGTTGTTCAAAAGGTCAAGCTCCATCTATTGGCGTCGTCAAAATTCGTCCGGCGACATCACTTCCAGCCAAACCGGAAGTAGTCAGAAAATGCGTGTTTTTGCCGTTCTTGACAAGTTTTTGGGTAACGAATGTCTCTGGGAGCATAAAAATTAATTTTCCATCCGTCGTCGTCACTTCCGGTCAGACCGGAAGTATCAAAAATGGCTTATTTTTGCATTAATTAACATAGCTTTGGATGATTCAAGGTATTTTTGGGCGTAAATTGGCATTTTTGTTAAAAATAAACTCTACTTCCGGTCAAACACGACGGAAGACCTACTCGTTGCTTTGCAACGAGCTTTGCTCTAGTTATGTTCCCCAAACGAAGTTGGGGAACATATTGTTTTTACTCTGTTTCTTATTAAGGTCTTCCGTTTCCAACGGAAGACCTTATTGTTTTCGTTCGGTTTCTTTTTCCCTATTATTATTCTTTTTTTTTCTTACCGATTTTGTGCACGCGATTTCTCGGAAATGGCTCGACAGATTTCCACCAAACTTTCAGATCTGATAGATATTCATCTGAACCTTGTCGGAAATTTTAGTCGTCGATGACCTCACTTCCGGTCGTGAGATATGGACGATTTTCTTATTTTTAGGGGGTCGGCTTGTCCTGGAAACTCCTCCTAAACGACTTAAGATATTGAGTCAAGATTTTTAGTGAAAGTAAGGGAAGGTTTGTGGAGTTGCAGGCAGGCGTCCAAAACTTTCTAGCGCAAAAGACGCCGACGCTCGATGGAGCCCAAAAAATGTCTCAGAAACATCTCACAAAATTTAACACGTTTTGTTTTATATCTTCGTATCTTTTCATAAATTGTGAAAACATATAGAAGAAAAGTTGTGCAGAATTACAAGAACTTTTATTTGACATAAAAAAAAAGGTGGCTGGCCCTTCAAATGAGGAGCTCAGAGGGGCCAAACGTCTTTCTTCTTTAACTCTTTTATGATCAATATTTTGTAATTCATTACGGGAGCAATGGTACCCCTCTAAACAATTTGCAACATCATAGTGTAAAATTTTGATCATACATGTACTTGACGTATATAATTCTCCTAAATATCATTTACGAGTTTTAATTAAATCGCAATTCGTATGAGTTACAGGTGATGTCATATCTTGAAATAGAATATTCTGGTTCCTTCGTAAACAGGGGACCAGACAAGAGATACAAAGGCAAGCGATAAATATAGACCTCCCGATGCCCGACGGTTCCAGATTTTGGAGATTTCTTTTTTTATCGATCAAAGACACTTTTCAATCTTTTCAGACTCATATTCTTGCTTTAAATAAATTCAACAATTTGTAAAATTGTCTTAAAATCTGCGGATTTACAAATAAATCAGCAGTATCACCTGTCAAAAAACGGTAAATCGGGAGCCGGGAATACTAGTTTTACCGTTTGCCCAAAACAAAGACGCAGTTTAAGATCCGCAAGAGAATTCAGAGAGATTCCATAGAGCAGTTCAACCTTACGTTGCCTAAGTTAGAAAACTTTGTTCGTACATTTGAAAAGAATTACAGGAGTTGAGGGACTGGTACCTTCTGTTAAGTTGCTATTCGATCGGTACAGTGCACATTGTAAGTTGATTTCAGTATGTAAACACAGACGCCATCAATACGAAGAAACATAAGACATATTGCAGTTTATAAATGTTACCCAGTCGGCATATTATTTCGCATTTATATTTTCGATATGAAAATAAAGATCATTCTAAGTATGTACCAGAAGTATATTTATGTATTTGTACTTTTCTACTGGTCTGTGGTTAGATATGACTTGTATCTAAGTTTGAGTCATTTTTACCTTACAACTTTGATAAAAATCATATATAAACACAAACCATGGGAGTACCGTATTGATTTATTTGGGAAGTTCAAACGAGAGGTCAATGATTTTTAAAATGATATTATTAGCACTAAGCCATATGATGCAGACAGATATACTTGAGAAGTGTACTCTTGACCATGTATACATCTAAGGATGTGTCCAATGGTACCAATTTAATTAGAATTAGATCTTTGAAATGCTCCATTTAGATTGGTAAATTATGAGAGTTTAGTTAGATCTCTGTGTAGCAATCTAAGTGAACTAACAATCTACAGTAGTGTGATATGAATGAGTTCGCAAAATAGCCACCGTTGCAAACATTACATGTAATTAAAGAACAAAATTCACTTCTTATTATATTTGGCCCCGAGAATTTCCTTAGATTTAAGTTTCAACTGAATCAAAACTTTATAGTGGAAATAAATGTTGGATATATGCTTGCTTAAAATATATATCAAAATTTTTA